AGGTTAAGGTGTTGGCCTCTCATTCAAAGCGCCCGGTTTCGAATCCAGGTAGCGACCGAAAAATGTTCTTCTCTAAAATTGTCTCCTTTCACCTCCTTTCCTGCTCTCTAACAATATTCTGTCGTCTGCTTTCGTCTCATCTTTCTGCCCCCACCCCCTCACCTCTTTGCCCCCTCCTTTGGACTCCTCTTTCTGCAGCCTTTCTACTGCTGCTCCTTGACTCCTTCTTACAGCTGTCTTTCTGCCACACCCCTGATCTTCTGGTAGGAAAGATCTACACCTAGCCTTCTCGGACAAGGGCGAAAAATCTCGGAGGGCCTGTGTGCAAGTTGCGCACGTTAAAGATCCCCTGGTGGTCTAAAATGGATAAGAGTAGGCTTCGGCCGCCACCGGGGCAAAATTCAAAATTCCCTACTAACTAAAAGTATTAGGTATGTCCCGCGCGCTCATATGACCTTATGCAGTTGCGAGCGCCGTAAAACACTTACGGGAAACAAAACGGAATCTTTAGTGCAATAAAGTGTAGGCCTACACTATAAAAATATTTTTTGTAACAATTAATGGCACGGAACAAAACAACTATTTTCTCCGATTTTTTCAACCATGAATCATCACATTTTATAATTGTTTCGTTTTAGTTTTAGTAAGAGTTTTCCGGCACTTGCAATACAATAAGGTCATATTAATTAAGTGCCGAAGTTTAGAGGTGTTGCAGAGAGTAACAAGCACAGAAAGAAGAAGGAGGAGAGATCTGGACAATAGATGTTTGATAGGAAAGGAGTAAACCACTCCAGAGCACCCGCCAACCACCCACTATAATTGTTTTTTAAGCAAAAACAAAAAACGCACAAGCATATTCGCAACTGCACAAAAGTGGGTTACATGTTTTTCACGTCTTTTACCCGTCCTTTATAATACTATCAATATAATATATTACTGAGGGTTGTTTGAAGCTGTGTTTGATGAATGGCACATTCTCACTGATGTCTAATACAGTAAAAAAAAATAAAGTCAAGAGTGACGGCATAAAACCAAGGCACCTTCATCAACTTCCTCAACTCCTGTCGCTGTAGCCTATCTCAATCTGACGATTCCCCCTCACCGTAATGTGTTTCTCGTCAGACTTCTAGGAAAGTTGGAGCAGAAATCCTTTACAATTCCACTCGACATTAATTATCAGGAGATCGTAATAAATCTAATGCGTGGACTAAAGTTTTACCACTAAAACGTGTCATTGGTGAGCTTTGACGTGGGCCACATGCAAAAATGAAATTTAAATATGTGTGTGAGAAGCGGAGTGTTATGAACAACCCCTTTTTCCGCGGGATGGTTATTTAATGTGTAGTATATAATATAATATGCACTTAATTGATGAAGATGATTGTTTTCTTTTCTTTTATCTAGCCTCAATTGATATGGAAACCTGTGATAAAGTTGAGACACAGTAATACAAACTGCTGTGTAAGATGTGGGGGACAATCACCCTTGAAAGAGATATTTGAGGATAAATTAAGTTACACCACACATTTTTGACCGCACTCTCATGATAAATTAATTAATTAAAGAATTGAAGCTGGAATCGAAGACATAAACGCGACCATAAAAAAGAGAAGATGGAGATATGTAGGAAAAGTTCTAAGAATGCCGAAGACAAGATTGCCCTTTCAGACATAGTATTGGAGACCATCTGGAAAAAGAAAAGGGGGTAGACCAGCTGGAAGCTACAGAGGCTCTATATTAGGGATTAGACAATTACCCAAGACCTGGAAGTACTGAGGCGGTATTTATCTTTGACTGTCGAGATACCAACAAATATCATTTACTGATATAACAACTGATAACAACAAAATTAATAACAACTGATAACAGCAAACGTCCTAATTTAGTTTTTTTCCGATAAATTGTTACTTTCGATTTTACTTTCGATTTGAATGTAAACCAAAAAAGGGACGTACGCGACTTCCGGTCATCGTTAAAGAATATTCTACTTCTGGTAGTTGCTCGAAGTTGTGCACATTAAGTGAGGGCCAGGTTGACCTCATGAATATTGATTTTTGATGGTGGAATCAAAGCATTTTTGTGTTATTAGTTGTTGTTTGTTGTTATCAGTTGCGGTATTATGTTTGTCAAGATAACAAAAAATAACAACAGATAACAACCAATCACAACTGATTACCTTAAAAACCAAGTCAAAGTAACTAAATTAGGACGTTTGTGTTGATATGTTTCGTTATTTTATTGTTATCAGTTGTTATTTGTTATCTCGACAAAGGTAAACACTGAAATCGAAAGTAACGACTTATCGAAAAAAATAAAATAAATTAGGACGTATGTGTTGATATTTGTTGTTATTTTGTTGTTGTGTGTTGTTATTTGCTGTTATCAGTTGTTATTAGTTGTTATCAGTCGCTATCTGTTGTTTTCAGTTGTTATTTGTTTTTATATCGACAAAGATAAATACCCGTACCGAGGTTCAAGAAGGTGGCGCAGCCGCCAGGGACAGGCGTATGTGGAGTCGGTTGCTCTCCGCCTTATGTTTGCTGACTGTATTGAGAGAGAGTAAATTTACAAGTAACGTGTATTAATCTAATTAAGTGGTCTGCATGTCGATCTAGATCTAGTACCACTGACCTTAGTGTCTAGTACATGTATTGATGTATAAATAATTAATCAAAGAATGCTTTGTTACAAAGAGGTTGTAATAGTACTAGAGGTCACAGTTGTAACGTCACCCACATAAACCCACTATGGCTGTGAGGGCCCACTCAGCTCGCTTTGTCGCCATTGTTGAGAGGATTAGAAACAGCGCTGTCACGCTGCGCGTCCTTCGCAACGCCTATAGGTCTTCATATAGTCTGAAGCTCAGTTCGGTTTTATTTTAATTTTTTTTTTTTTTTAATTGCTGTTGTTGTTTAATCATATAACATACACGCATACGCAATACCACACCTGGCATGCTGACCGATTGTGAGAAACGTAATAGCACTTAAATGTGGGCTTCCAATGAACAGAGAGATGTGATATGAGGTATTGTTTGTTTTTCCCGGGTGGGGTGGAGGGAGACATAGTGAGTAATTGAGTTTGTTAAGAAAAAGGGGGGATCAAGGACTGGTGATGGGTCTCATTTAAATATTGAGAAATACCTAAGCGTCTCAAACAGCTTTTCCCAATCCAGCCAAAGGACAGTTATATACTGACAAAATGGATTGCTTTAATGTCTTGCTTGTTGTCTACACTCTCCTTCTACTCATGCACAGCTAAGGTCTTCATAGAGTATGAAGGGGAACTAAGACTGGGTTAATAATTATTTAATATAATATAATTAATTCGTTATCGTCTCAAAATGATCAAATCAATTATAATTGTAGTCTGGGAAACTGTAACTCACCCACTGTACGGATCGTGTGCGCACACCCAAAGAGCGTTAACTTGCACCTATCGGGCACAAATAATTAAAATGACAATACTTTAAAATTCAAAATTTAGATAAATAGCCGGATTATCTTAAACGTTCACATTATTATAAAAAATCGGTGTTGATTGGTAGTGGAATTTGGCTACACAGCACCCCATCTTCCATGAACCCCCACTGCTACTGTTGCGCCTGCTGTTTGGCATCGGTCCCGCAAATGAGACGGAATATTATTACGCCGGTCTTATTGGTGGGTAGCTACGCCTGGTTGGTAACTTTATATTCTTTCATCTCAACAACATCAACAGTGGTTCTTTTCTGTTCAGCCAGCCTCGAATGTGTGCTAGAGTTGCAGCTGAAGCTTCAAGCAGCTTCTCAGTCACATTCCTGATTCCAGAGGGCCGATACGAGCGCCTTGTTGTGGTCAGCGGGGCTAAATCTAGACATACTGTTTGGGCAACACACAACAAAAGATTTCAATTTAATTATATTTTTATTTTAACAAGTGATCATCAGATCCATCTCATTCATTTTTTCTTAAGGGCTGATGGGGCACCTGGGGTCTATTTTGGCTATTACAAGGCCTAGAGTGCCCATATTTGCTGGGGTACATCGTGTGTTATTGGGGATTTTAAATCACTAGTTAAAAAAGTATATTATTGTGAATCGGTTGCTGTGAAAACGGTAGCCATATTGGATTTTGTATACTTTTTTAAATCCCATTTTATTCCCTTATTTAATAACCGATTCACTTCTAATTTGGCATGCCAGCAGTAGGCTAAATAATATGTAGCTCTTAAATTTTGCTTGTTGAATTTTTACCTGCTTTAGTTTCACACTTTCAATTGGGATGTTGCACAAAAAAGTGTAAAAGGGAAAATTCATGCTTTCTAAACCCATAAATCAAAAACTACTCCATTAATTTAAGAAATTCAACAAGCCAAAATTTAGAACTAGGTGTTTTTGGTATCCTGTGAAAGTTACATTGAAATTGAACAAGAAACAGAGCAGAAAAATGAGATAATGTGTGGAAAAAATAGAATTGTGAGAAAATAGCCGAAAAAGGTAAGAAAAGACTAGAAAACAAGTGCTTTCGCAGAAAACACTGGCAAAACAACACAGCTTCAGGGTGTAGCAAGGCTTACATGGTATATGTTTCTGAATATTGTTCAGGAAATGTCCAAGTACTATAATATGTAATAACCCCAATTTGCAAAATTTGACCCCAAAACGCGGTTTCTAGGTGCCCCGCCAGCCCTTTAATTTACTCACCCACAATATGGTCTCACCGTGTTTAAAGGCCCTATTTGCATTATTTGGAGATTGCCTGGTCCATTTAAAGGTAAACAACAAGAAAAATTCCTATAAGTACATTTTAGCGACAGGCAAATCACATGAGAAAAAAATCAAACGTCAAAAAACTTAGCAGAGTGCTGGCCTCTTATTCCTCTCCGGAATGGCCGCGCCCGGCGCGCGCCCTCACATTTGATACTCGTGACGTCATAGCTAAGCCCTCTAGTTCTAACCTCTTTGCTTTGTTGTTGAAGGGAAATCACTCTACACCTTTGTTGGGTTTGTTAGTAATCAAGAGTTATTTCCCGTCTTTCTAATCGAGGCACTCGACAACCTTTGACCTTTCTGTTTGCAGTTTGCTAGGCTATCTACAACAACAACTGCGGCAACCTGCGAGGTTTCTGCTTGTGTTCCAGATATTATCTAGTTGTGCAGTCAGCAGTCAGCAGTCTTATCTTGTCTTCTTGTGTGTGAGTGTGAGAAGTGAGAGTGTTTTTGGCCTGACGCAGTCTGCATTGCGCGTATGTGAGGTCTCTGCTCTCTAAACTCTCTTGTACTGCAAAGTAGCAAAGCGTACCGGCTTCTCAAGTCATCATCATCACCATCAAAGTAAAGAGATCATCATTCATATAAAGTTTAAAGGTGAGGATTCGGATTGAATGGTCAGCGTGGAGAATAGTGCGTCCATGCCATTGTTTGCCCTTGGGCTTGGGTCGGTGTTGCGGGTCAGCATGGACAATAGGGACAGTGTCCGATTCTAGATTTGCACCCCATGCCAGAATATAGATTAGATCTAGATCTAGAATCTAATATAGATCTAGTCAATTAGCCTACCTTTTGAAAACACAACTAAAATCTAATAGGCCTACTACTAGATTCTAGATCTAGATCTAGATCTAGATCTAGATTCTAATTGCCCCCCCCCCCCCCCCCCAACTCCAGAGACTTGAAAACTGCCTTGGACGGGATTTAACTTTGACTTTGGTGGACCCACCATGTTTAAAACTAATAAAACATTGGAAGAGGCTAGCCGTACTTAATGACGGCTAGACTGGCAGCCTAAAGTCCTAGGCCTAAAGCACACTGATGACAACAGTTGGGGGGGGGGGGGGGGGGGGGGCTTGGCAAGCCCTGGCAATAATAGTGATAATAATATTTTTTTTAAACCCATGAGAACAGAGAAAGGAAAAGTGGACCAGGAACAGTTGGTGGCGTTGCACAGCACCCACATTAGAAATTGCAGTATGCCTTATAAAAAAGCCCAACTATGATACAATTTATAGAGTAGAAATTATCCTTGGGACCTTTCTAGGTCTAGAATTCTAAAGTCTAGCACTATATTATTATTTATTGTAATTGTGCAATTACCTAAGTTGCCTCATTCAGCAGAGAGCAATATTTCACGCCGTTTTGGATAATGATAATTATAGCGTAGCGCAATACTCATGTACTCAACTGTGGATAAAAATAGCATTTTTGAAATGCTGTAACTGATTGCTAAAGATGTTAGATAAAGATCAGTTCAATGCGATTGCTCATGCAGTGCAGATGCGAATTTGCTCAAGTATTTGTTTAATTCAGAGGAGTTACAATATTCTGTAATTTGTGTTATTGACCGATAATGTGAATCTATGTTCAACATGTTTCTTTGATGTAAACCTAGTGCACTTGTTAATTTACAGTGTGGTTCATTATTTTGTCCGTCGTTGGGTGACCTTTTCACCCAGGCAACTCAACCAGCTTTTTTATTCGACTTCCGTTTTTGTTTCTGAACTGTTTGTGCTACTTGTATGGGGGTAGGCCGGGACCACTTCTCCCGAAGAGTGCCTATATGACTATACCCAAAAAATACTCATCACATTATTATTCATTATAATATAAATTGGCAGTGCGTTTTTAAAACCTTTCACGGTATTCTTCTACTTTCCCTACCGTTTCACATTTTTTAGCTCTACTACATCCTTTTTCTACTGTACTACATTCTAAATATTGATGCACTGAACAGGAATATCGACTTCATTTCTGTCGCAATATTCCGCTATATAGCAGATTTCTGCTACCGCCATTTACTCCTCTAAACTCCTCTACCCAATAATTTAATGTACCACCACTCTCTGTACAATGTACCACCACTCTCTGTACAATGTACCACCACTCTCTGTACAATGTACCACCACTCTCTGTACATAATCAAAATTGTAAATGTTTGACATTTGGTAAGCGACTCTTTTACTTGAAATTATAGATCTAAACCCTCAGATTGGTATAAAATAACCTTGATTTGATAAATTGATGGTTTTTATTTGAGTATTCCAGGGTTGAACTGCAATAATAATGGGTGTCTCACGAAAATGGTTTTCTGTCGCGATCACGCGGAAAGTTCCTCTTTTCTCAAATTCTGAGTTGAGACCCATGATAAAGACCAGCTGTAGGCCTACATTCCCCCAGAAGTTTTCAACAGTAACTGAACAGTTTATAAAATTTGTGGGGCTCGAACCACAATCTCAGTTTGTTCCTTTCATGGATGATTCTAGCTTTTGATAGGAGTTGAAATTGGAAGGAATACTTTAATTTTTAAAAATTTCCGTCAGTATTACGTAATGAATAATGGCTCTTTTTGTTGCAGCTGGGATGTTCTGTTATAATATCCTTTCTTACTGAAATCTCTTCTTGTTCTTATTGACTTTCAAAAAGCGAAAGATGACTTGTCGCCTGGTTTCAGTGATAAAATTAGCGAGAAAATAGCTTCCAAAGTTTGGTGACTTCCAAAGTTTTAGATGATCTTGGAAACTGTAAATTTGATTTTTCTGTGCTTTCAATAAAAGTTTTCAGTAAAATTCACCCAGCAGTATATTTTGCAATGGACTTAAAAGGCGTTGAGCCAAAAAATATAGATCTAAATTCAATAAAAATTTCCAAACTGGAATAAAAATACTGTTTTCTTCAATTTTATTATTTTAACGAGCGCCTGATTTCACCACATTGCCTCACATTTGATTTTGCTCTTTCTTTTGATTTTCTGGAGCAACACTTCTCATTTAACAGATACTTTCTGATTTTGTCCCCTCAGATTTTTCTTAAAATGAGGTCACTAAGCCTTCTGACCTGTGCCCGAAATCTGGTCTCAAATAATTTGCTGCGGAATGAGTTGAAGGGGAAAACCTTGACCTTGGCTAGGATCCATCATCGAGGACTTGCGACGTCCTCGGTCAGCATTGTTGACCTGCGCAGCGACACTCTGACAAAACCGACTCCGAAGATGAGGGAGGCGATGAAGAATGCTGTGGTTGGGGACGACTGTTATGGAGAGGACCCCACTGTGAACAGTAAGTTTTGTAGAACTGGCAATATTCTGTGACAACAGATGATACTTTTACTACCGTGGAGTCCGCTTAAAGTGAACTCCTTAGGACCAGAAGAAAGTGTTCACTTTATCCAAGGTTCAGTTTAACCATTTTAGTAGGATGGAGGTCTAGAAACAGTAGCTACGCGCAGTGGTGGTGGGTCTAGGGTGGAGTTGGGGTGGGGGGACAACACAGCGGGTGAGCCTGGACTAGAGCTCTTTCTTTCTGACTGGGATTGCCGTTGCCAACGCCGAGCTGGGATTGTCTGACGGTGCCCGAGGCAAAGAATTTTATTTTCACAGCATGGGGGCAGTGACACAGTCGGTCTGTCGATATGGCAAAGAATTGACAGGTTTTAATCAGCTGTGCTTTGTTGCTGTATAGAGTGTTTCCGATGTCTGGGGAGGCAGGTAGGTAGGTGCTACGCAGGTCACAAAGTGCTGGGCAGTTAAAGAGGTGGTGTGGTACTGTTTCATCCTGGCAGTCGCACAAAGGGCAGTCGGGTGGGGTATCCTTGCGGATCCTATTAAGGTAGGAATTTAGTGGTATGTGTTGTGTTCGCAGGCGAAATATCGTGACTTGTTCTCTTCTACTCAGGGACTTTATTGCATCTTTAGAGTTCGGGGCTGTCATGTGTGCAAATACAGTTCTTCCAGTTTTGCCCATTGCCCATCCATTCAGCCACTGTTCCCTGGTGTTGCATTTGATGATGTTCTTGGCTGTCTGTTGTGATACTGGGTTGTGTATGTGAACAGCATAATTGTCTTTCTTTGGTGATAAATTTTATTTCCAGAATTGCAAGATGTCTGCGCAAGCATGCTGGGAAAAGAAGCGTCTCTGTTTGTTCCGACTTGCACTATGGCAAACATCACAGCAGGTTGGTTCTAAATCTAATGTTAAAACAAGTGCTTGGTGATTTTGAGTTCAACTTTGTTATAGTTCCAATGTACCCCAGTTACGATATTTGCTGTATAAGTACTGGCTTTCTGTTCTATCGGCAGTGCTAGGATGATCGACCTTGTGTCGATATATGCCACTACTGGGCTGTTACTAACAATTTTCTTTGATACTAAGTTATCGAATAAACGGAGGCGGGGGGAGGTGGGAGGTAGGAATAAAAAAGGGGGGAGGTGGACAAGTGGTACAAAATTAATAAGGGGGGGCACATTCAACCTCATACCCCTGTACTAGTAGGAACAAAGTCTATTTTGTTTCTCCTTCAGTGAATAAAAGAACAAGAGATCATTAAATTTTAGTGATTTTAGTAAGTTACTGGGACAACTTTTCCCATTTAGGGACAAACCAGTTTCATTAAAAAATATAGACCAATGTACCATGGTTTTTAAAATGTCCAGGAAATTGAGGTAACCAACCCGGCATTGGTACTAATACTGAGGGTAATTTGCCATTTACCAAAAAAAAAAGAAGTTTCATTCAGATATCTAGATTCTAGATGTAATGTTTCGCTTGAACATCGGTCGTGGCAAGAATGGGGGGGTATGGAATAAGGGGCCAGGGAGGGCGCTAAAAACCTGAAAATTAATAAGCGAGAAGAGGGGGGGGGGAGGGGGCTTATTGGACACCTTTGAGTACCCTTCTCTAGTCATGACATCATCTTTTTCTCCCTACCCATTTTTCAAATTCATGACATGGTCTAAACCCCTCCCACCCCACCCCACCCCTTGTCATGGCAGTCATTGTTCATGCTAGTGGTGGCTTCAGCGAAATCCTGCTAGGTGAAGATTCCCACATGTTCCTGTACGAGGTGGCTGGGATGGCTCGGGTAAGTTCTCAACTCTTTGATCACACTGGTTTTTTTTTGTGGGGGCCGATCTGTGATTGGTTGAAAGCTTTTACCAGGTACTCGCAGAGGTGCGACTCATAAGCTACAACCTTTGTGCTGTTGAAGCTAGAGAGGTGAGCAGAGTAAGCCTGATTCCCTGTAAGGATTTCTCTGTTGACATCCACCCCTTGGCGCTCATATGACCTTATGCAGATGCGAGCGCCGTAAAAACCTTACTAAAACAAAAACGATCTCTTCTCTCCTCAATAGTGGATAGTTGTTTTGGACTGGTTTGACTGTATGTGAGTGGGGGTTGGTGGGAGGAGGGGTGATAATGTTTTTTTCTCCCGGCTTACTGTGTCTCCTCTCCTGCTGTCTTTTGGACGGGTCTGTGGACAGAGGGTTTGGTCTGGCGAAATAGTGCTGCTTGGTACCCCTCAGTCTCTCTGTCTGTCTCTTTCCCTTCTGGCACTGCGGTGTCAACACTCACTCGGGGGTCTTTGAAAAAATACTGAACGTGGGTTGCTTAAATGTCCCAGCAAACATGTTTTGACAGGATATTTGACGGGACATTTCAGGAATACGTGGTCCATAGTCTAGTCCTCCTCTTTGCAGGCTCGACAGTGGGTGGTTTGCTTCTTCTTTCCTTTCAAACATCTATCGTTATTATCTCCCCTGCTTCTTTTTTTGTGTTTGTTACTCTCTTGTAACACCTCCTATCTTCGGCACTTCTATGACCTTTTTGTGTTCCAAGTGCTGTAAAACACTTTTACTGAAACTAGAACTTGCAGGCTGGACAGGACGGATCTGGGTTGTCTGCTGACGGCATTTTGTGTAGAGATACGTTCACCCCCCGGGGCAGTAGTGTCTTTAGGCCATTCCCAAAGGGGGGACATTTCTCGTTCAAGCACAGCAGCATTGTAAATGGGCTGACTCATGTCACGCTCATAACTGTGCCTGATCTACAACAGGGAACTGCTGCTTTTTCTTTCCTGATCCTTACTATTGTCATTTCCTCTATTTCTTTTGTATGTTTGTCACTCTCTTGTGACCTGCTATTTCCAGGGTGCCTTGGTAGTCGAAGCAGACCTTGTGCTGTTGAAGCTAGAGAGGTGAGCAGTCTAAGTCTGATTCCCTGTAGAGACTTCTCTGTTGACACCCACCCCTTGGCGCTCATATGACCTTATGCTGTTGCGAGCACCGTAAAAACCTCTACTAAAAAAAATAATACAAAATAAAAAGAGATACGATTTCAGATTGGGCGATTTTCAACCAGTTGTCAATGTGAAGTCTGTTCCAAATGGCCAGTTATAATTTGTGTATCATGTGAAAAGGTCAGAATCTTCTCATAAAAACTACCCCGAAAAAGAAATGAAAATGGGATTTTTTTCACAGTAGTGCCTACCTGTATATATATGACAGGTTGGGGTTGGAAAATGTTTGTGTTTGTGGTTGACGGGTGCCATGGTGTGGTCTACCTCATCTTCTTCTTGTAACCCCTTTGTGACTTTAGGTGTTTTTTTCCAGCTTTTACTGGGTCCAATTTTTGCTATCCAGGATGTTGAGCAGTTTCAGTCAAATTTTCAGTCTCGTTAAAATTTAAAGAGTTACGGGATTAGTATATTTTCGTTATCACAGATTTTGAACTTTTAAAACAATGTTTAATTTGGTAAAATTCAGTTCAAAGAACAGTTATAAAATCCTGTATGGTGGGTTTTAGGACTTGCATTGTACAGGACGATGGCATTTTGTCTCAAAAATGTTTGTTATAAGTTCAGTGTTTTGGAGCTATCACAAAAGGTTTAAATATTGCTGCTTTTTTAATCTAAGATTTGATTCTTACTTTTACCTTTACTATGCTGACTGTATGTACTCACCAACCATGCTTTGACAGAGCTCAGTTTTGATATTACTGCTGGGAGTCTCAGCTTCTTTTTTCTGCTTTCTAACCCATCTGGTTCCTCAGTTTGTTAATGGGGGACTCTTCGGGAGAAGTTGTCCCGGCCTAACTCCATAGACATTTACATTATGTACACAATTGGAAACAAAACCAGAAGTTGCCTTTAAAAAAAAAAGGGGAGTAGGGCTGCAGGGGGGTCTCCCCCTTGCTAAATTCACAAAATAATGGTTTGTATCAGTTTTTAGTTCCAAAATTGTTCTCTGCGCACTAAAAAAAACTTCAGAATTCAGAATAGTGCCGAAAATAGATCTAGTCTCAAATAGGTTTGGCAGGCAGCTTAGTTCAGTTTTTTACTCGACTTACGTTTTTGTTTCCGATTTTTTGTATCGATGTCTGTGGCGTTAAGCCGGGACCACTTCTACCGAAGAGTGGCGTTAATGGGTAGCTGGAGGGCCCCATAGGTTGGCCTGCTGTCTTTCTTTCACTCTATTTTTTCTGTCCTTCTATCTTGTTTTGGGAGGACTTCCGTAGCGAGCAATCACTTTGAGGCAGAGTAGAATAGAGGGCTAGGGGTCGGGGTGGTTGGCGGGTGCTCTGGTGTGGTTTGCTCCTTCTTTCGTATAAAAAATCTGTCTTCTCTATCTCTCTTCCTTCTTTTTTTGTGTTTGTTACTCTCTTGTAGCACCTCTAATGCACGGGAACACGCTCAAGTGAGTTAATGGGATCTTTGTTATGTTGGCATTTTGAGAGATATTGGGCTTCTGACAAATCTGGTTTTTAAAAATTTCTATTAACTCTACATTTTTATATTGTTTTTAAAAAATCTTTTTAAAAATTCATTTTGTTTGGGAGGGGAAGTCTGTGTACTTTTTTGTGATATAAGTGTGTTAAATTTATGTACCTTTTTCAGAAAAACAGAATGAAACGGATAAAAACTGAAATTTCTCATCCCATTGTAAGTTCTCCTTGCCATCGCATGACTTATTTTACTTACAGAAGCCCGCAGACCCTTCTAGATAAAACAGGGTATTTGTTTCCTTCATATTTTCAATAATTGTGGCTGGGACTAGAGAGCAGAGTCGAAAATATTCCACGTATTGTTGAGGAGAAAAGGGATGTTCTAAGACAGATGGATGTCTTGGACAATGGCATTATAATCTAGTACAAATATAAGGTTGGGGGAGGGGGGGGTGGTAGGAATATGTCGTTTACACAGGCGATGGTTAGGGACAGGTGGCTGTTAGAGAACATCTGAGTGTAACACTTTTTGCCACTAGAGAACATCTGAGTGTAACACTTTTTGCCACTAGTGAACATCTGACTGTAACACTTTTTGCCACTAGAGAACATCTGACTGTAAAACTTTTTGCCTCAAGATCGACTGACTTAACATTTGTGAGTCACAAAGGAAGATGAGTCACTTAGCTTTGTGACAGGCTTAGTGGAGTTCTGGCTCGGAACTTGCAGGTTATTAATCATCTTGCATGTGGGTCTAGTATGATTTTTAAAATCCTGAACGCCAGGGTTGAGTAGTTCGGGGTCAGTTACAGCAGCTGTTATAATTACGTGTTACAGTTGTCCCTGCTTATAGTAAAATGCCCTTGCTGTTTAAATGCATGCTGTGCTTAACCCTTTCCACCCACGCAGCGCATAAAGTGCTCACCCTTTGCCCCCACGTACCAGGATGCAGATGGGGTACATCAGTACTATACAGCTGCATCTGGGCAAAAATACCCCTACCATTCTGATATTATCGCATGTTCACCAAAGAAAAGAATTAGAATTGGAACTGAAAACATTAGATCTAGTAGTAGTAGTAGTACATTCATCTCCCGAGTTTTCATCATGGCGTAGTGTAAAGCAGCACTCATGCCAGGTCTACTCAACATTTTTCCAAAAAATTTACTCCATTACAAACCGATTTTCGACCTCAAAAGGCCACGGAAATCATTCACAAAGGAAATTATAACTTAAACAGTGCACATGTCAAAGAGGAGATCATTGCCACGGCATTTTTGTTGCTGTTTCACACCAGACACCATGGCCAATCGGCGTCCCATGGGGGCAAAGTGTTAAAACGTTTAAGTTTTGTTTGTCTTCAACAATGTTCTCCTCTCCCATATGGTCGCTTTTAAGCACAAGGGGGCTATCCTGAAAAATGCCGTTTTGAGAAAATCGAAGGTAAAGTTTTTTTACCCTTGTTCAGTTTCTTTAAAAGATAAGGAGAGTTTTCTCTATAATCAAAACAAATGTATACACCACCAATGAAACCAAACTTTTTCTATAGGTAGGGCAATGCCCACTTTTGGTGTAGGTCAAGATTTCTGGAAACCCCCGAAATCTGGGTTAGCCTGCTTGTCCTTAAAAAGGACCATATTATGTGTTTGCTTCGCTTTGCAAAATCTGCCAATGGTAAGATGGGACAAAGCGAAGAACTCTGCGAGGTCTGGACACACCTCAAGAGGGAGCACGGACAGCCGCTGACCTGCATGGGACCTTCACCTTCCTCTTCACCTTCACCTTTACCTTCACCTATCTTGTAGTCCGGCTGACCGTTTTGACGCCATCTTCAGCTCTCCTGTAGTCTGACTGATCGTTGAGACACCACTGTAGATTTTACTACCAGCTTCTTCCTCGCCTCCCGGCTCCCAGCTTCCTGCAGTGTGGCGATATTCCAGTCCGCTCTTTGATATTATCTTCCCATCATTTACTCTGTCTGCTTCTCCATCTTGCTACTTCTGCATTTTCCTGTAGATTCATCTCAGCCTGTCCAGTAGATGGTTGTGTGAGTTGCCCGCACTACTTCAGTTTAAGAGGTCTTTTTTACTCAAGTTGAGAGGTCTTCGTTTGGCTTGATGGGGACACACTTAAGAAAAATATTAATAACACAAATTAGTTTCAATTACACAGCCCATTTCCACAGAGAAAGTGCTCAATGTCCTTTACAAAAAGGAAATTGTTTGGGGACTGTACACTTCCCCCTTACCTCGAGTTGGGCTGTAGAATTTTTGACAGTGGCTTCACGGTATTGTTGACTAATCATGTGCCCTGATACTCTGTGCCTCATTCCCATCCATCTTCCTGTGTGTAAAAGCTTTTC